TTATCTCCTAGAAGCTCACAGGGCTCCCTCTAAATCCATGCCGCTTCAGAAAGTATTGCTTAACAAAAGNAAGATAATAATGAAGCAACAACTACAATAACTGGAGAAGACAATTTGAGAAATAATTCCCTTCTAGTGAAAATTTTTTTTCTTTAGTGAATTACCCAAATGCTATTCTCAAGTTCAGAGGCTCAAATATAATACTGAACACAGAAACCAAACATATAAGAGTAAATATCATATGCTTCCATTTTAAAATTAAAAGAACATCTGCAGTTGTGAAAGTAAAGAAATTAGCTTTGGAGAGGATGGAGAGTTAAGATCTGGGAGAGGCACAAAGAGGGTTTTTGAAGTGTTCCAAAATTCTACTTCTTGATCTGGGGGTTGATTGTACGGATATTTGCTTCGTAATCATTTTTCCAACTGTACATTTTTATTGTGTTCTTTTGAATATGTCTAATTAGAATGCATATTAAAGACAAAGGTAGAGAGAAAAAGTATGACAAAACATTATATAAATGCCAGAAAATGGCCCACCTGTATATAGAAGAGTNAAAGAAAAATAAAGAAAAAAAGGCTTAGTAAGTCTATCGAAATGCTAAATATTGCAAAAATGTAGTGGTTGACTGTTTAAGTGGTTAACTCAGTAGGCTTGCTGTTTGTCAACTCAGATTGTACTTGCCTGAGAAATCTGAAAAGAAACGAAAAGGAAAGTCTTAAGCCACTGGTGAAGGAAGTAAGAAAGATAAGCCTTAGTTGTGCAGGGGCATGAGGCCTTGCTCCTGCTCTTGAAATGGAACTGAATTTTCGTGGAAGGTTTGATACTTGCTTGAGAATAGCAGAAAGGGCCCTGAAACCTTGTCTGAGTTTCATCTCAAACATTATAACCTTGGAAGATGGTTATTATAACCTTGGAAGATGGTTAGCACAGAGGCAATTTAGTCAACTGAAGGAAACAACTGTTTGTTTCCTAGTGCATGTGTCTAATCTCCAGCTGTCACTCGGACCTCCTGTTAAAACCCAGAAAAGCTTACTCGGTGGCAATAATTGAGGAATATGTTTTAAAAAGAGAATGAAGTAACTGGACTTGAGAGAAANGGCTTCAAGGTACTTCTAGCATCCTTTTATTTCAGTCTGAAGGACTCTGGTTAGCATTTCATGTAGGATAAGTCCACTAGTACAAACTCCCTCAGCTCTTGTTTATCTGGAAATATATTAATTCACCATCAGTTTTAAAGAATAGTTTGCCCGATATTGAATTTTTTCCCTTTCAAACTTTAAATTTGTCATCGCACTAATTTTTGGCCTCCAGTTTCTGATGAGAAATTGGCTGCTACTCTAATTGAGGATCACCGAACAGGACAAACCATTTCTGTCTTGCTACTTTCATGATTCTCTTGTCTTTCAATAATTTGATTATCTTTCTTGCTGAGTACTTCTATGAGTTTACCATAATTGAAGTTCATTGAGTTTCTTGGATGTAAAAATTCAAGTTCTTTATAAATTTGGGAGGTTTCAGCTTTTATTTCTTTATTTATCCTTTCTGCTCTTTGTTCTTTCTGCTTTCCTTCTGAGGCTCCTTCTATGCATGCATTGATATGCTTGAGATGTCCCAGAGCTTTCTTAGTCTTTTTAAAATTTTTCTTCACTTTTTCCCCCTTTCTTCTGCTCCGATTACATAATTTCAATTAAGTTATGTTTAAGTTTGCTGATTCCTTATTCTGATTGTCCATCTGTTGTTGAAACTATACAGTAAATTTTTCATTCCAGCTATCGTACTTTTCAGCTCCAAAATTTCTATTTCATTCGTTTTTTAAAAAAAATTTAATCTCTTTATCAATATTCTCTATTTGTTGAAACATTGTTGTCCTACTTTCCTTTAGTTCTTTGTCCATGGTTTCCTTTAGCTCTCTGAGCATGTTTAAGACAGTTGATTTAAAGTATTTGTTAGTAAATACATTGTCTGTGCTTCTTCAGAAACACCATCATTAAACCAGTGATCATGCTTCAATTTACCCAACCTGCAGAAGTCCTCAGACAGCTTTAGTGAAGTTGGCCTGCTCAGAGGCAGCCAATGTGGCATTCTTTATAACAGTGAAAAACCAGAAAAGAGCTGTTCCCTCCTCTTCTTTCTCCCCTCTTCCTCTGGGCTTCTTTCTTAGGTAAGATTAATCCACGTGTGCCCATCACTCCCTCAAATTTTAAATCTTGTTCATTCCCCAGCACCCCTGTTGTTTGCAGAATTTCATTATCT